ATTTGTTTCTCTCAGTCTTACTCTTACACCAAGCACAATGAATTATGGACTTGCAGCTTTCTCATTGATAATACTTTCAGATATAATAATATGAGGAGCATGTAAGTACAATTCTAAAATTACGAGGTAGGAAATCTATCTTTGTAAAAATTCAGTTTGAGCATGTTGTACTAAAATGGTTTCATTCTGTAGATTAGAAATTTAAAACTTGCTGATTCTGCCTTTGTGTACGTGTGTTCAAAACCATACTTTCCACATGTCCTCTCCTGTTTCAGGCATGATGATTTTACCAGAAAGGAGAGAGCCCCACTCCCTTTATATTACCTTGTGAAAAATGCACTTTGGATTTCTCAGGCTCTCTCTTTACCCTTCATCGAAGTAAACCTGTCATATGTCATCAGAACAGAAGGATCAGTCTGAGCCACATCTCTCGCCAGTCTGCAGTTTATAAAAAGGCATATAAAGTTATAGTTCCTTGGTTTGAGTTTTCATCATCCTGGATTAAATTCTCAGAGGAGGGACTTATTTCATCTCCCACTCCAGTCCCAGTTGTCCTGTAGGCCGGATGGATTTCGCAGAACAGCGGATACTTTCTATTTTTACCACATATCTCTGCAACATCTAATATATGAGTACAATGTCCAATTGCAAAACACAAGGTTAAAACGTCTTTCAAACAGTGACAGTTTACTTCAGACATTTACTACACTAGTGAGCAAAGAGCTACATACTTGCATACATACAATAGTAAAATAGAAAAACTCTGTAGAGAAACCAGAAATAATTCATCTCCAGGGAAATATTTGAGAGGCTGCAGATTTAAAGAATTATCAGAGCCATAGTTAAAGAAAAGAAATAGATTAAATGTATATACTGTGAGTTCAGAAGGCAAGAAAAGGTCTAGACCAAATTATTCAAACTGTGGTTTCACAAAAGTGAAATAAAACCTCTCAGACAGAGAAGAATTCATTTGATATCAGATGGAAACATCGCTGTATGAATGTCAATGAGTAGTTCCTGACAGTTTAGCTTTTCTACTATTTGTCATGCACTCTTGGTCGCAAGTTCAGATGTCATAGCTTCATGTACATGCAGAAGTAATTCCCAACAGGTGCCCATGGTGGAGATCAATATGTTGTAAACTGTGTGTCCTTAGGGAGCCTTTTCTTCATCATCTTACTGGGCTGATGGAGCCCTTTCTTTTTCATCTTACTGGGCTGACGGTGGCTGGTGTTAGCTGATCACAAGAATGACAGACACTGAACTACGTCACTGTTTTTCAAAATTTAGAACACATTTTATCTTATCAGCTTCCAAAGGTCACTAAACTATTTTATATTGCACCTATTTTATGAGACAACATCTCTGAGAAATGTAAGCTCTGCATTATTCAGTTCAGCTGAAACGCCCTCAGTAAAATTTGCCTCATTTAAACTTTACTGCCAGGTATAGCGTGACATTTCAGCTTCACCACATCCACCGCACAGATCTTCAGCTGTTTCACTTCTGCTCATCACTCTCACATGGGACATCCTGTCATGTACATCTGCTTCTGAAGCCACCCAGTGTTGCTACAAACCTTGTATTGTGTCAGCACCGTGCACTCATTACATGTATCTGCCCTAGAATAACACAGTCCAATGTGATTCACTTGGGTCCTCCACAGGGTGAGCACATGAATGGACTGACACCAGGAAGCTGTTATGCTTTTCCTCCTGTAGTAGTAACAGATACTTGTTTTGCTGTTGGCACTGCAGTCACAGTGCAGAATCCATGACTGCTCCATCACATGTATTTCTCCCTTGAGCATGAGGCCAGCCTGCTGTCTCCTTTTTAACAAAAACTTTACTTTCTCCAAAAATTGCCACAGAGACCCATGGTTCTGCACATGGGATGTCCTTGCTCTTTCCCTGGGCAACTGTAAGGTTTTTAAAAGTCTGTTTACTCTAAAGGTTTTTCCAGACTGTACCATGTTATCAGGATGGATTCAGAAGAACCTCTGAGTGTTGCATGAATGAGAGAGCAAAGAGGACAGAAGAGACTGACACTGACATTTGTTTTTTCACTCATGTTAAAGCATTTTCCACACTGCCGCCTCAGAAACTTGGACTGCTTCACAGGAAGAGTAAAATGAAACATGCAGACATGCATAATGGCAAAGTATTCTATGTGTATTCAAGCTTCATGACCCTGAACAAGATAATCATGTCATAAAAATAACAAATGGATTTATACTGTAAAATAGCTAAAACTCACTAACGTCTGAGGTCAAGCAGTTCAATGCTTGGCAGTTGTGGATATTTGAAAGAGGTCGGCCTGCTGTTATCTGTCCCCCAGACTCTGGGACAGCAGCCAAGCTGATGCCATCTCAAGGAGAGGAACACAACAAAATGGCAGGAAATTCCTACTTGGTTTGCTCCCATAAGCAGAAGAAATTTTTTCAAATCAGTCTGCTGAAATGTTGCATAAAGATGCTAGTTCTTTTGACTGTTCAGCTGTAGGAGAATGCAAATGAGATGGTAACCAGTTTAAATGCATAAAGATAGCAACAAAAGAGGAAGATATAGCAGAGGCCAGTGAGAAAACTTGTTTACAATTTTAACATAAATACTGGCTCTGGAGTGAAGCTACAAAATAACTTTCATGCAAGAAGTATCATAACAGAAAGAAGTAAAATTTCATACTGTATACATATAGAGGGTACTCTATATGACAGTGCCTGAGAATAAGTGACACTTCTTTTACCTAAGAAGTTATCAAAATGTAATGGCACGTCCAGTGTTTCTTTGTTACAGTTTATAATAGATAGATCCTATATTCATAATTACTAAATTTACACAAACTCTGATAGATGAATCATTTTTACCTGAGGATCTGTCGCCACCTAGTGAAAGCTCACTCACATACACATGATGACTTCTTGTACTCACAACATATTTTCCAGTCACTGTTCAGAACTTGCATGATGGATTACTTGTTCTGAATAATAGACACTATTGCACCTGGGTTTTTGTTGGAAAGTCTTACTTTTACTTGGGCCAAGTTTCCCCTTAGTTTCCTCTCTATGCAACAACATTTTCTTTGCAATGCCTTTGTTTGACATGCCTAAATACAAAACACTTGTGATCACAGATGACAGGACTTATTAAGATTAATTTAGACAATGAAAACTATCTTAGTTCAGCACTCGAATCTCCTGAAGTCTCCTGAATCCACTGATTTGCAAGACTTAAAATCATTTACACATTTCCAGCATGGACATTCATTCTTAATCTTGGAAACAGTATGTGTGAGGAAAAATAATCTCAACGGTCCACTTGCTACCTTTATCAGAGCTTAGATGCGGTTAAAAGCTCAGAATATGTAAACTTGAATTGAGATTACTTTGTCACTTTGTTTAATTTTATATGTTGTCAGATGGTTTGTCTGAATCAAAACTACCAGAACTGAAAAGCATCAGTGAATGACAACTCTGTTACACACACTGTTAGACATGCCTAAAACAAAACTTTCCCTCAAAACAAACCTGGGATAAGGGTGCAAGGTCTCCAGATCATTTACTCAAAATCATTGTGCTCCTTTCTGTCTATTCTCAGCTTCATTGTCTTGATGTGGTCAATGACTCAGGGCGCACCAACTCACAGCGGTCACAGAAAGTCTAGTACATACACTGAACAAAATTATAAACGCAACACTTTTGTTTTTGCCCCCATTCATCTTGAGCTGAACTCAAAGATCTAAGACTTTCTCTGTATTCACAAAAGGTCTATTTCTCTCAAATATTGTTCACAAATCTGTCAAAATCTGTGTCAGTGAGCCCTTTGTCCTTTACCGAGATAATCCATCCACCTCACAGGTGTGGCATATCAAGATGCTGATCAGATGGCATGGGTAATGCACAGGTGTACCTTAGGCTGACCACAATTAAAAGGCCACTCGAAAATGTGCAGTTCCATTACACAGCACAATGCCACACATGTCACAAGTTTTGAGGGAGCGTGCAATTGGCATGCTGACTACAGGAATGTCCACCAGAGCTGTTGGCCGTGAATTGAATCTTCATTTCACTACCATAAGCTGTCTCCAAAGGCGTTTCAGAGAATTTGGCAGTACATCCACCTGGCCTCACAACCGCCGACCACGTGTAACCACACCAGCCCAGGACCTCCACATCCAGCATCTTCACCTCCAAGATCGTCTGAGACCAGCCACCCAGACAGCTGTGCAACAAGTTTGCAATTACCACAGAATTTCTGCACAAACTGTCAGGAACCTTCTCAGGGAAGCTCATCGGCATGCTCGTCGTCCTCATCAGGGTCTCAACCTGACTGCAACTTCACACAGCCATTGAAGAGGAGTGGACCAATGTTCCACAGGCCACAATCAACAACCTGATCAACTCTATGTGAAGGAGATGTGTTGCACTATATGAGGCAAATGATGGTCACACCAGATACTGACTGGTTTTCAGACCAGACCCCGGACACCCCCCAATACAGTGGCCTTTTATTGTGGCCAGCCTAAGGCACACCTGTGAGGTGGATGGATTATCTCGGCAAAGGAGAAGTGCTCACTAACGCAGATTTTGACAGATTTGTGAACAATATTTGAGAGAAATAGGCCTTTTGTGTACATAGAGAAAGTCTAAGATCTTTGAGTTCAGCTCACGATGAATGGGGACAAAAACAAGTGTTTGCGTTTATGATTTTGTTCAGTATATATCTCCAAAGATACATTTAATTTACACTTATCATCACTGAGCGTTTAGACACGCACACACACATATACACACAAAAGCAGTAATGTTTCCCACATGTCTCAATGGGAAAAATTTAACTATAATAACAAGGACATGAGAAAATAATGGGAGGACTCCAGGTGGCGGATAACGAGAAGATGTTTAGGATTAACTGGCCTTGTGATAGCGAAAGACATGAAAACACTGAGATGTGTGTTTTCACATGGCCTCATCTTATCCTCTTTTGTCCCGCTGCTCTGTATTGAAGCCGAACATTAGTTAGCCAGGCTCCATGGACAAAAAGGTGGTGCTGATCACAGGCTGCTCCTCGGGAATCGGTCTCAGCCTGGCTGTCCAGCTAGCCTCTGACCCCAACAAATCCTTCAAAGGTAACTACAGCTGACATCAACTAATGATGGTCTTTTGTTGTATTCCTGTGCTAAGGCGTCTTCATAGAGAGCTTGCACTGAGTCAGCAAGTGTCGATGTTAAAGACGTTCAAAGTTCATGGAGACTGTATAGTATGTAATGTTGTATTGCGCTGTATATAATACTGTACTAAACAAATAACTTGCATTGACACTGCAACCAGAGATATTCTGCAATATGTGATTTGTATAAATACAAAATGTTTAAAAGCATTATGATTACCATCCACTATTTCTTTTGAGTCCAATGTGTGTATTCCTTTTTGCATCTGTATAAAAAAAATTAAGTGCTGCTTTCTGTTTAGTCTATGCCACTATGAGAAACCTGGCCAAGAAGGAGCGCCTTCTAGAGTGTGTTAAAGGCCTGCACAGAGATACCTTGGACATACTCCAAATGGACGTGACAGGACAGCAGTCCATCCTGGATGCGAGGGACAGGGTTGTGGAGAAACGAGTGGACATTCTGGGTATGCTCTTGTGTCAATGTGCTTTGATTATCGTCATTTTTGTGTGTTCATGGGCTTATACTCACTACTCACAGTGTGTAATGCTGGTGTGGGTTTGATGGGGCCGCTGGAGGTGCAATCCTTGGACTCGATGAGGCAGATTCTGGAGGTCAACCTTCTAGGTACCATCCAGACCATCCAGGTGTTCCTGCCAGACATGAAAGCTCGAGGCCAGGGCCGCATTCTGGTCACAGGCAGCACTGGAGGGCTTCATGGTGAGACAACTAAATGGTTGAGGAATCACTGAATGTCTACAGTGTTCCACATGTGCAGTTTTTTTAAATGACTGGACAGAAATCCCAAAAACAAGTCATGCTGATGCTTGCTGCCCTGTATGAAATTGCCAAAATAACCTTTCTACTTCATGCTTTTTTACAGGTCTCCCTTTTAATGAGGTGTACTGTGCCAGTAAATTTGCAATAGAGGGAGCATGTGAGAGTTTGGCTGTCCTCCTGCAACACTTCAATATACAGTGAGTTTTAAAGTTATCTGCGTCTTAGTTTCCTTAGTTTAGAGGCTATCGGGTGTAAAAAAACCCCCCAAAAAAATACCCACACTATTTTATCTAGTAACTGAAAATATGGAGAGACTGTTGACTTGATACTTCATCCCATAGTGTGAGTCTCATTGAGTGTGGTCCAGTCAACACCGACTTCCTGGTCAACCTGCAGAAAGCAGAGCTCGGGGATGCATCTCTCCAACAGGTTGATACCCACACACTCAGCCTCTATGAAAAATACCTGCAACACTGTGACTCTGTTTTCCAAAATGCAGCACAGGACACTGAGGACATTGTAAAGGTATGTTGTCTACAGGAGATCATAAGTGCATGAGACACATGAAGCAATTCTGGGTGTGTGAGGTACATTTAAATGCTGGTTTACAGTTAAACCCTTTCACACCACTCTGAAACAGTTTCTTTGGTCTGCTACCTAAAAATAAAATGTTTGCTGGCTGTGGACAGGGAGAAGCCTCTATCATGCTGGAGGTGGGTCACACTTTGTGCATGACTTTAAACACCTCCTTTATAGCTTGCACAATTCCACATTAGTATTTACATGGGACAGTGGTGCAGTGTAACTAAGCACATGTACTTAGTTACTGTACTTAAGTGCAAACTGTTACATTTACAATACATGTATTTGCACCATTCACTACTTACTGTGCATTGTATTATGTGAATGGTCTGAGGGCTGTGTTTCTCTGTCTATTATAGTATGCTGTGGATTGTTGTATATTCTTACATTGGTCCACAATAAATAACATTTTGTTCAGCTTTATACTTGAACACTTAAGAATGACAATAAAGTTGACTTGACTTGATTTACAGTTAATTCGCCAGTTAATACAATAAAATATGATGCACAGCTATAGATTAAGCCATCAGTATATAAAGTAATTAGAATCAGCTCCACCTCATTCAACTACACTTGAATAATATAATAATATCACACAAACATGTGGCCACTCTGCACATGGTACTTTTACTTTAGTACGGTAAATGTTTATGTTTCATTGTGAGTAGTTCACTTGTGTCTTTTTCTATGTAACTTTGTGTGTTTATGTAACTTTGTATGCTGTTGATTTGTGCTGGGACTGAGCAAAGTGGCTCAGGGTCATGTTGTGATTGTTTTGGAGGACATTGCGATATGACTGGGATGCTGTTTGGCGATGTTGTGATCTTGGTGGCATTCTAATGAACTAGTAATCCTTAGCAAATGTATTTATTATTGTATTGTTATTAAACATGACCTGCCAAGGGACTGCAGATGTGAATTAGCTTGAAGCTATAATCTGGTACAGTGCATCAAATGGTAATGTTGATGTTTCACTCCACGCTGTCCCTTTTTTAAATAAAAAATAATAATACTTAAAGTGCATTTTTCTATCATACTACTTTTATTTTTACTAGATTTTTACCTGAATAACATTTTGATAGTGTTTTTTGTAATAGTGTATTTTATATAGCTACTTTTTCTTCAGTAGAGGATCAGAATCCTGATATAGGTATAGTTTATCACAAGTTTACAAAAATAATGTGTAAATTTAAGAGCATTTCTTCATTTAACTACTTTTGTGTTTGTTTTGGTCTCCAAGGTTTTTCTAGATGCCATCCAGTCACCCAGCCCTGCATTCAGATACTTCACCAGCGGTGTAGTGCCACCGCTCACCAAACTGAAGATCACACAACCAGATGGCACGCAGTACATCAGTGCTATGAGCAAAATCATTTTCTCAGCTGAGGAACAATAAATTGTGCAGACTAGCTCTTTTACTTTATGGTCAGAAGTCAACATTTTGCTCTTTCACAGTTGCTCAAACGGAAAGGACAGTAATTTCAGAGTGGCGTGAATAGAGTTCACAGGAGGGAGTGACTCCATGGTTCTATTTTTGTATGTCACTTATCAAAGGTTACATTCCTTATCACAATATAAATGTAAAAATAGACCATTTTCTGGTTGGTGATGAAACATTTGATAAGGATTGTGTTTTAGACAGCATTGCATTCCTGTCCTTTGAGAGTGTTCTTACCACACTGGGCTAGGCGTGCTTCTGGACCGGTTTTTACCACATTGTTAATGGGAAAACACTCTAAGAATTTTCTTATGTAATGTTTGACTGGCTATTTTAAGCAAACAGGAACAACTTCCTCATTCCAAAGTATGAAATCAGGCTTCCATAAGTTTCTCCACTGGCAGCAAAATGAAAATCTTCATGATTTTTACATGAATGAATTATCTTACATGTTGTATATCTTTTGTGTTCTGCACTTGCCTTAAAATGCCCCTTAATTGATTAAAGTATTTTAACCTAACTGTTGTAATCCTTGAAGTCTAGCAGGAATCCATGTGAGTCTTCATCTGAGAGGTTTGCATGGTTATATATATTTTGTACTTTGGGTGACATATATAGGCACACTGTTAGTTCTTTGGTTTGTTGGCTGAATTGAGTGATTAATACATTTGTTAAGAGATTTATGAAAAAAAAGCAGACAAAAAATATTGATGTATAAAGATTTTATAGCAGTTTATTTGTGCATGCACATTTTTGCCATGAAGGTGTCTAGAGGGTGCAAAATTTGAGTAGGGCATAAGGGTTAAAAAATGAGTGAAATAAAACGGATATTCAGTGAAATTGCATAAACAGACTTTTTTCAGATTTAATAGCTAATGTCACATAATTCAGGATTGTAGAAAGAAAAATGACCTATAGTACATATTTCAGTAGAAATCTAAAAACGTTAAGAAGAGTCTTCTTGTTACTAAGTGTCACGGCTGTCACCTTTGTGTTTCCCCTTTTCTGTCTCACCTCTACCAAGTAGGCTGTGTCCCTGTGGAATGAAGACCTGCCTACTTCCTGGTTTCTGGGGTGCTGACATCAGTCCCACCCATTGGTTCCCTCTGTTTCCACTCAACCAATGGCTCGTCACCACATTGATTACCTCCTGCTCATAAGGAGAGTCCACCTGTTGCTCCAGGCAGCTTGTCACCGCCTATTGACTTGTGTGCTGCTGGTATGACTGCATACTTTGCTTGTTAGCTGTGTTTAGTGGAACAATCCACATACCTTGCTTGTTGGCTGTACATTGTGTTTAGTGAAACAATTTGCATACCTTGTTTGTTAGCTCTACATTGTGCGCAGTGGAGTAAACCACTTAGTATTTTTGTTTACTATTGTGTTAGTTTCACCAGGTGGAGTGGGTGCTGTGCTCTTTGTGTTCTTTTTGTAGCAAGAATCAACTCTGCTTAAATAGATGGATAGGCACAGGCCTTCTTTTGAGGACCTTTTTATTTTAACTTGGTTTGTTATTTTTGCAGCACCCTCATCCACCCTCCTTTTGTTTATTGTTACCTGTCTGCATCTCCGTGTTACCAATAAAAGTTACCTTTTTAAGATCTATACCAGTTGTGCCTATATGTTATGGCCCCCACTCCCCTAGACCAACAGGGGGTCGTAACACTAAGGAAGAAGTATTAATGCCTCAGTTGGGCTTTTTTGAATCACTGAACAGTATAAAGTTCAGGGATCAAAGACTGAATGAGAGCCAGCTGGAACCGCATCCATCTCCTGTGTAATGTTTGGATCAAGCTGGGGCTTGGATCAGCCCATGAGTATGTTCTCTTATGACCTGAGACGGGTTAGCTTGTCTGTACATCCAAGTTACGTGTTGGGCCTATCTTTGACAGGATTGACTGAGGTTCTTAAATCCCTCCCTGATCAAGTGCCCTAATTCCAGTCTACAGATCCTGAAGAGGATCCTGCATGACTAGTTCTGGCCGTTACCACAGCCACGTAATGCATCAGCACTAAGAGTTGTCAACCCCTTTAGTATTGTGGAGATCAGTTAGGTAAAGGCTGTCGTAAAATATATTAAAATCACATTTAATTTTGCTACTATCATTTAAACATTTTTATTTAGTCTATGCTGTTTGTTACTGCTCTGCTTTAAACATTAATGAAGTTAAATCAAAAGTAGACCTTTATTCCTGTGTAGCACCAAAGTCTGGTGCGTCATGTCCTTGTTTCAGTTGTTCACAGGCTAAACCCCACAGTAGGCTATCATAGACCTTGGCTTGCTCCTAGAAACCTCTCAGAATCCTGGGAACTCAGTGTGCCAGACTGGCTTACAATAAGCCAAATAAGGCAACAAATTTGGATTTCCTTATCATTTATTTTTTGTGTAACAAAAGTAAAAATGTCAATCTCAATTCTGTTCATGAGTCATGGCCTCGCAAAGTTTTATTGTAAACCTGCATTCCTTGATAACAGTACAACTTATAATAACACATTCATTTAAAAATCATAAAAACAAGCTACAGAATAGTTTACAAAAAGACATAAAATCACAACATAAAAATGGATGGGTCTGTCTTGACACTATGTATAGTTATACTTCTGTTTTTTTCTTCTTTAAAAAAAGTTTATTGTTAAACAGTTTAATTTGACCTTCCTGTCGTCAGTCACTAAAACCTGTAAGTCTCTGAATATCTTTAACTGGTTATTTTGTTCATTTAGGAATTACCTGTCACCTTCAAGAATCAGCTAAGAGAGATCAATCTCACTTTTAAACTTTATCAACCCTTCTCTTTGATTGGCCAGAGCCAATCTCCCGTTACGTCACTGTTGGCCTTTAGTGGGCATGTGGAGCGCCTAATCAGCCAGAACAAAGCTGGGTTGCTGCTGCTGCTGCTGCTGCTGCTGCTGCTGCTGCCAGGGTGAAAATACAGACTTTTCTCCTAGGATCCTGTATTTGTTTTAACGCATAAACTTCACCATGCCCAACAAAACGACTCCTCTCCTCTTTAAGGCGCTGCTGGAGATGTCTGAAGCCCACTCATCAAAAGTTGTGCGAGGAAACGCTAAAAGAGCAAATATCAGGTGAGTGATAATGGGACAAAAAAAGGTGAAAGTTCAATAGAGCTTGTTTGGATTCAGTCTTATCAGCCACATGGTTATTGAAATGTGGCTAATTATCTTAAAAATCCGGAGATCGTTTATTATGGATGGAATGTAAATTAGATGTCCAGTGTTTGTGAGTGAAGCACAACTAGTTAAGGCATTTTTCCCTGTTGTGGTACTTGTTTTATTCAATAAACTGTCAAGAAGTTTCCTCAGTGAGACAAAATAGCTCATGTGATGTGAAAGTCAGCATGATCATCAGCAGAAGGGACATATGAATACAGTGAATTCAGTGATCAGAAAAGTGTTATGAATACTATGCTCACACATCAAACAGTGTTAATTCACAACATAAATACTGTGGGGGACTGTTATTCTTAAGATCACCCAGACTATATGCACAGGAAAATGCAAATTGATCCATCAGGTGACACAAATTAATTTGTGTGTATATATTATTTATTTATATTTATAGTTATTTCCTTTCCTCAGACACTTGGGCTCCTGTGGGGTCCTGGCAGTGAGAAGGGCTAGCCTGCCTCTCTGCCCCGCCACCCCCATCAGCACACCCAGCCGCAGCTTCATCAACCTTGCTGCTCCCATGAGTACCCGCAGGATGGAGTATACCGAGTGCCGGACATTAGGGTGAGTGCCCCGATGTAATAAACAACAAACCACTGAAATGAGACAAGTAACCCTCTAAAAAATATTACATTTAACTGAAAGTAGTGTATGTGATAGTAAATAAGACATTTAAAATCTAAATCAAATGACGTGTTTTTGTTCACGTGCATGGTAAAGGAACATTTTTTGGCTAATTGAAAAATTACATAAATGTAAACATCAAACACCTGATCTTAACTTCATACATGGAGAGGTTGGAGAGGCCTGGAGAGGAATAGAGCTGAAAAAAACTGTCAATGAATTGATTAGTCAACATTCAGAATATTAATCTGCAACCATTTGATGATTTATATGAAAATAGGATTTAAATAAATACTGTGTAGAAGTAAACCTAAAAAAGTGTTACAAAGAAACTTAAAACTGACCATTAAATGGAAAAACAAACTCACACAAATCTAAAATGGCAATATCATCTCATTGCATGTGTCTCTGTCTTCATGTGGCTGTACTCAGGTATACTCCAGAGCAGATGTACAATGTTGTGGCCAGCGTGGACCAGTACCAGCAATTTGTTCCCTGGTGCAAGAAGTCTCGGGTCATGAAGGGACGTAATGGTGACGTCCGGGCAGAGCTTGAAATAGGTTTCCCCCCCATTGTGGAGCGCTACACCTCTGAGGTCACCGCTGTCCCAAACCACCAAGTCAGGGTAAGTCCTTGTCTTGGTAACTCCAGATAACAGTTATTAAAAATATCCACTTATTTTCTCAGACAATACACTATTTTTTTTATCAAAGCACACTTCCTGTGCTTGTTAAAAAATCTCCACTGTTATGATTTCTGTCTCGCTGCAAATTACTGAAGCTAAGAAACCTTAATATGGTCAAAAATGAGGCTCAGGTTGCCACAAACCAGCACACATTGGAAGTGAATAATATTAATGCTTGGGAACAACTATCTTGACTTTGTGTTTTAAGAGAGAAGCATTTTCTTACTGGCATCAGTACAGTTTTCTTAGAACCAGCATGAGCAGGCATTAGAAGAACTGCAATTTTCTTTCACAACTTCCTGTTGGCTCTGCTACAACATCCTATTTCACAGTAAAAATGTCTTATTTCTTTAGAAACACTGTTCTGTTGGTAGCATGACACTCTTTGTATGCATTTTACTTTTGTCATTATGTATGCATCATGCACAATACCTTAAACTGACAGTTTGCATTAGTAGACTACATGATTATTGATTCTTGATTCTGTGCTCCTCTAGAGAATAAAGATTACAACACCTTAGTCTGGGCTTTGACCAGGGCTATGCTCATGGCCTTTTGACAGTCAATGATAAATAACGGGTCATCTCTCTAAAACAGGCTGTGTGTACTGATGGATCCCTCTTCAGCCATCTTGAAACAATATGGAGGTTTGCCCCTGGAGCCAAAGATCTACCAGACTCCTGCAAAGTGGATTTTTATGTAAGTGTATAAGATAAAATGAATATCTGACCAAGAGGGCCAAGAGGACAGCAGGTTTTTGCAGCACCCACAGCAATTTGATATATAGAGAAATGGGAAATTGTATAATACTGCAATAAAATAGAATTTAAACAACAAAAGGAATGAAACAGCAGTGACAGTGAATCCATCAGTAAAATGAATGACTCGTCCATGAGACTGATAGACAAGATTGCTTAAGGAGAGACTGATTCCATGTCTTCCTTCCTGTACGAATCCTGAATGGATTACTGACTGAAAGGAAGTGTTGCGTAAAATCTCATTATGCTCTACATTTAGTCTTGAGTAGCATGCTGGTGTTCCTGGAAGCCTGAAATAGCTGTCAGGGCAGGGAACAGTGTTAAGGAGCTGCATGAGTTTGACCTTACTGTTGGTTCAGCTTACCTTAGTGTCAGCCAGGAAGTGGTTGGTGTGAAGGAAATTCTTCTTGTGAGTTGGTCAACCCTTATGGATGAAGGTGGTTTCAGGAAACTCATAATGTCTTACACAGCAGTATTTACTGGATCTCAGGCTGAGGAGAACGGCACATGCAGTACAAATTGATAATGCCAAAAACACATCTGAAGATCCCTTCTTGGTCCACAATATTTGTCCCTTTATTGTCCCCATAGAGTCTACGATGTACCCCCCACAGATCATCCTCTACTGGCCTAAATATGTATAACCATCTTATTGGATGTTAAAATATAAAGCCTACCTAAGGTCATGAATTAAGAGGTCACATGAATTACCTTCTAAGGGGAGACAGTCTGTAAACAGCAGACTGAAGAGGATCACTATATCTCTCGCCCTTGGCTGTCTAGGCAGTGCACCCACAGAGATAGAAAGCAGCATGAAGTATTGCCTGAGAGACAGAGGGCATTCTGCTTCTAGGTCTGCAAGTGACCTGAATGTGAATGTGTATGACCTGTGGCTCACCTTTTACCCACTTTCCAGCTCCAAAGTTCCTTTACGGTTGGATTTCAATAGATATACAAGAAATCAATGCAACTCACAATCGAATAAACAGTCTCACAAACAGTTTACAGCTTACATGTTTGCCCCCCTCCTGTGTCTTCTATAGGTGTCATTTGCGTTCAAGTCTCTACTGCACTCACAGCTGGCCAGCGTGTTCTTTGAAGAAGTGGTTAAGCAGATGGTCAGTGCCTTTGAGTCACGGGCAGCGACACTTTACAGCAACCAGCAAGTGGCGTCATTGAGGAGGCGATCGATATGAGGCGACCCTTTTGACCTCCTGTCCTTCATATCCACTGGGACTTTTAACCAAACCCTGCTCTAACTACTATCAACACTTGTCTTACACTGGAGACTGGATCTTCTTTGTGCACTCACTTATATGTTATACTTGAGTTGCCATGCACTAGGAATATACTTATAACTATTCATATATAATCCACAAGATAATTTATTTGCTTTCTTGTACATACAGTATTTATTTATTTTAGGGATAGGAATAAATGCATGGATGCAAATTATCATGTTGAACACAAATGTTTTCTATGTAACTGTGGGATAATGTACAGACAAGTGACTCCTGCTCAGTGTGTAAACAACTAAAAACGAGCATTTTCTTGTACAGCATTTTTTTTCGTCTGTGGAATAAAAAAGCTTTTATTTTGGTAAATCTATGTCCAAGTGTCATTTATAGCTCTACCTTTTCATAAATATAACATTTTTTGTGTGATTATTTTTGATAATTGTGCAATAGACCCCAGCGACTCTGCAATACACAAGCAAGAATTTTCAGTGCAGTGGATTACATCTCTAATTGTTGTGTTTGGGCGAGAGTATGGGGGGGGGGGGATTCTTTCTAGAACAGTTGCGTAAGCGCAGTACCAATGACCTGAGGCTACAGCGCTCCTCCTCCCCTCCCTATCAAGCTGTTCAGCTTCTGAAAACAACTAGCTTTACTTGGTAGATGATGGTTTGTTTTCATGTTAAACTGTGCTGATTTTTACATCGAAAACGACAATTTTAACCAACAACTTTGACCATTTTAACAGCCCACAGTACAAACAAAGAACAATATCAGTTGGTTTTGCAACAAGCATTGCAACACATTTGTCCAGTCAGTCCTGGTGGTGTTGGTGCAGAGACATACACATAAGGTTATGTCACAGTGCATACCGAGACATGGTCCATCCACAGACAATGGGAGCTCATACAGTTCAAAGATATGATAGGAGGCATATTCTAGATAGCAGACAATGTATTTCACGATATAAACTGCAATAAATACTTATTTAAACTGTGGGGCATACAGTGTGTCTGAGGCAGAGTTACAGTAATAGTCTTGGAGTCTATGGAAGGCATTTAAGAACACCTCAGGTGGCCTTTTCTGCAGCTCTCAGGGAATCTGGCTCTGGAGATATTGGACCCTTCACCACTGCTGCCCCACTGCAGTATAAGAGGGTCTTCTCCAACACTGGCAATAGCTACAATCCTTCAACAGGTAGTGTATACTAGAGAGAGAAAGAGACACAGAGAGAAAAAGTAAGTTTTAAATAAATAAATTTAAACAATTATCCTCATTTTGGCAGGTATTTTCACAGCAATGGTCAAAGAAATGTACTTCTTTCGATTCTCCATGTTCAACAACCTTGATTGTCAATCCAACTCTGTTGTGAGCCTCATGAAGAACAGTGAACGGCTAACATCTGTCTGGGACACTACAGGGTCTGATGCCAATGACATGGGCAGCAACGCTGTGGTCATCCCCCTCGAGGTGGGAGACAACGTGTATGTGCAGCTCCAAGCAAACAGGGTGGTCTATGATAATGGCATGAACTACAACACCTTCAGTGGTTTTCTGCTCTTCACTATTTGATTTAAACAACAGGATTTCAGGTCTGAAGAAGTCTTCATGCTTTTAAAGTAAAAGGAATATACATTTTATCCACACTGCTACTACAGTTATTAATAACTATCAAAATAAATGTGGTGCTTTCCCTGTGCAACGCCTGTATCTGTACTTTCACCTAACATTGTGATTATTTGTATTGACCATAAAAATGCCTGTATGTTTCAAAAAATACAAAAGAAAATAAAAATATAAAAGCAATACAAAAATACCTGTGCATGTGAGGTTTTGTAGATGCATACACAGAATCCTTTTCTGAACAATAATTCAGCTGAATAGGTCAGTGGGTCTTCTGGGCCAAAGCCACTGGACAACATTAACTCTCGACTCCACCATAGTAAATGACAATGATTAGCAAAATAGGTCATTCAGCGAGTTTTATATAACTCAAACAGTTAAGATTGTTTTATTTTGAGTTATCCACAGATTTCATATTTCCATACAGACACTCTAGTGAACAGCCCTCGTATGCACATGTGCAGTTGGCAATGTGTATTGTTCTATTGTGGGATACCGCTGGTAAGTTTGAATAAAGTGTGACATAAGAAGATCAGTAATAGCCAGAAAACATCCCCCCCCACAGGTGGATGGTCTTTGGTTGCATGCTCCCATGGCATTGTGTACAGTCTAAAATTCAACCTACAAACAGAAAGTCCAAGAGGTATTGTTGACCTTCTTTTCATTTCCCAAATGTTTGCCTATATGACTCTGCACATGGTTTGTAACAACACATACACCCCCCCCCCCCCCCCCCCCCCCCATTTCATCCTCATGAAGGAAGACCAGCAGCCCCGAAAAACAGAACTCGGGTAAAGCAGATTGTCGAAAACTGAGTGCCCTTGCCATGGCTCAGAAAGAAATCTGAGAATTCTGAAGAAAATGAACATCCATTAATTGGGAAAAGCCTCCATTTTGCACTACATGTCAAACTTCATCACAGTAACACGAAAGACCCTCATTGTCACGGGTCAGGGCGCTGAATGCAGACTGAGGTGAGGACCCAAATGCAGACAATGGCGAGGCGAGAGGAGATGCAGTTCAATTAAAGCTAATTAAAACTAAAACAGGTTTACATGGAGCTCAGGGCAAAGACACCCAAAACACGAGTCTCAGGGGCCCAAATTCAGGCGGCCGACCCAGAGGTCGACTCAGCAGGCGGGCAGAACAGGGGACCAGACGGGGGAACCTCAGGCGGCTGGCCTGAGAACTGGGCCGGGGGCCAGACAACTCAGTGGGACGGCCTAGCAGGCCGAGTTCAAGGGGTTGGCAGGACGGCCAACAGTGAGGCAGCAAACTCACTGGGGGCTGAGCAGGATGGCACCCAAAGCTTGGGTGCTCTGGAGGCGCAGCTGGGCTGAGGTGCTCGGACCGAGGAGCTGGGGGCTAGCAGCGCTAGCGGGCCGGGAAACAGGCTGGGGGCTAGCCGCAGGGGTGCTAGTGTTCAAAAAACTTTTTGCCCACCTTGGCAACTGACGCCGCAACCATGGCTTTGTGGCTGCCTCCCAGTGGGCCCTGGTGAGAGCGGCTTGCTGGGATGTGCGGCTTGACGCAAACTGCCAGATAGTCCACAATTCGGCCAAGACTAAGTATATGCAGTATAAAGCACACCTGTACACACTCATCATTAGCTTAAACTATGAAGCAGGCGCTTCAGGCGGGGAGAGAGGTGCGGCGGGCCGACGCAGTGTCTCGTTCCCCTTCTCGGGGAACCAGGGTTACATACGTAACCCGAGACGTTCCCCTTCGAGGGAACTCGAACTGCGTCGGTTACGACACTATGGGAACGAGATACCCACTAAACCGAAAACCCCGCCTGCCCCTGTGTGCAATAAAGTGGCACGACTAAGAAGAGAGCGCACGAGTGCCAGGTGCCGAAGGAAGGTCAAGACTGTAAATCCGAATGAATGTGTGCGGAGTGGCCCAGCCAGCCGCTAAACAAACATCCTGCAAAGCCCAAGAACCACCGCCAGATCCCAAGTGGGAACCTTGGACCGAGTCGCAGGTCTCATCCTCCAGGCACCACGGAGGAAACGTACAACCAAGGGAAGTTTCCCCAAGGACCCCTCCCTCAGAGGGGTGTGGAAAGACGAAATAGCTGCCACGTACACCTTGACGGTGGAAGGGGAAAGACCAGCAGAGAACCGGTCCTGGAGGAACTCAAGTACCTGAACCACCGGGCAGGTAACAGGGTCCACCGACCGCTCCCTACACCAAGTGGAGAAAACGCTCCACTTCAGGCCATGCATCCTCCGTGTGGACGGGGCCCTGGAGCTCAGGAGGGTCTCGACTGCTCCGGCTGTTAGACCCGCCTCTAGGTCCAGGAGCGACATGATGTCCGAGAACCACACCCGGGTTGGCCAGAACGGGGCTACGAGAAGTAGGCCGACATTGTCCTGGCGGACCCGCTCCAGAACCCCGGGAGCAGAGCGACGGGGGAAAAGCGTACAGAAGTAGCCTCGGCCACGAATGTACCATGGCGTCCAGACCCAACGGGGCTGGAGGAACGAGAGAAAACCATAGCGGGCAGTGCGTAGTCTCTTGAGACGCAAACAGATCCACGTCTATGGGGCCGAACTCTTCGCACAAGAGCTCCACCACTTCGGGGTGAAGTCTCCATTCCCCGGGCCTCAGCCCCTGCCTCGACAGCAGGTCTGCTCCCTGATTATGCGTCCCCGGGAGATACATCGCCCTGAGCGATAGTAACCTCTGCTGGGACCACAGGAGGATCTGACGCGCCAGTCTGTACAGAGGGCGGCGAGCGCAGACCGCCCTGGTGATTCAGATAGGCTACCACCGCTGTGTTGTCGGAACGAACCAGGACGTGGTGGCCTTGGAGATCGGGCAGGAAACTCCTTAGAGCCTGGAACACCGCCAACATCTCGAGACAGTTGATATGCCACTCGGATTGATGCACCTGCCAGGATCCCCTTGCAAAGCGGCCGTCCATGACCGCGCCCCAGCCCGTGAGGGAGGCGTATGTCGAAATGACCAGCCGGCGACAAGACCCTCCCAGCACGGGCCCCTGGGACAGGAACCAAGTTTCCTTCCAAACTGATAGGGAACGAAGACACTTGCGCGTAACCCAAATCAGACGGAGAGGATTTCCCCTCGGGGAAAAACCCTTGGTCCTTAGCCACCACTGCAGGGGTCTCATGTGCAGCAGTCCAGATGGTATTACACTGGACGCAGCCGCCAGGAGACCCAACACTCGTTGAAAGTGTTTTATAGTGATGGCGTGGCCTAACTTCACCCCTTTCACGGCAGCCAATATGGTGTCGACACTTGCCGGAGACAATTGTGCCCGCATCATTGTCGAATCCCATACAACCCCTAGGAACGTAGTCCGTTGGGTGGGCACCAGCACACTCTTCTTTGCGTTGGGGGCGGGAGGGGAGAAAGACTCCCCTACCCCGGTCTTCCCTCAGCTCCGTCGGGACTGGATGACGGTCCTCAGATCGCGTCTCTCAGAAGGCTGAGGGTGAGAGCGCCGTCTCGCTGCCCCAGCTCCTCGGGGGGCCCCCGAGAAGCGACACTCTACTTCCTCTCCTCTCCGTAGGAGCTCGTAGAGGGAAGGGACCTACACCTGGCAGCCTCAGCTGCCTTGGGTCCAGACCGGCGAGGGAGGTACTGGCTGAACGCTTCGCCCTGCGTCTAACACTCCGTGGTTCTGCGAAGCTCCGCCAGATCATCCTCAGAGGGGCCCCCCCTCTGAACCATCTCCTGTAGCAGGTCGGCTTGGTAGGCTTAAATCACCGCCATTGTGTGCAAGCTCGCACCTGCCTGGCCCGCTGCCATGTATGCCTTCCCCACGAGCGTAGATTTGGTGCAACATGGCTGGAGGGTAACGCCGGCTCCTCCAGGGAGGACGCAAGTCGAGGGGAGAGATAGCTCGCAAGCGCATCCTCCACCCGAGGCATCCTCCCATAACCACGGTCCCTAGTTCAGTGATCGGGGTGTGGAAAGCCATGTAGAGAAGGGTCTGCCCCATGATTACTCAGTTCATCATGTAAATCAGGAAAGAATGGCAGAGACCGGCGTGGAGGTGGTGCGTGGTGCTTAAGAAACCTTTCATTAAGCTTACCACTAGCCTGTGGTGTCTTCTCCTCCTGTGGCCAGTTGATGTTGAGCTTAGCCACGGCTCTAGTCACCACCTCCAGCAGCACGTCATAGTCGGGCGCCGCCATATGACGCCACCCCGACACCCAGAAGTCATCGTCCACTACGCTGAGCACGTCCGCCTCCTCGGAGTCGGATTGCTGCTGCGTCTCCGGATCCAAACCGCGAGCGGGAGAAGCCGAGAACGGGCTCCCGAACGAGGAAAGGAAGCGTCGGAGCCAGCGGATGAAGGTCGGGAAAAAGCCTCAGCCGTCCCGAAATCCTCCGACAGATCACGCTGTGAACCCCAGCGGCCGCAGGGCCCACACCACGGGGAAAACACATCCGGCCATCCTCGGAAAAGAGAGCCATGCTGTACCTCAGTACCCGCACGGAAAGGGCTTCGCAATGGGCGCAGGCAGCCCCCTCGAGAGCTGCCCGGGCGTGCTCCATCCCCAAACATGAGACACACATCTCATGAGACTCTCCATCCGTGATGTACCGAGGGCAAGAAAAAAAACACACCTTCTGTACATCTGGTTGCCGGACATGCTGGTAGACTTCTTCTTCATGTAAGACACACTGCTTGTAGGACTGGAGCTTTCTTCAAACAACATACAGAGCGCCTGCTGAATAGAAAAAAGCTAATGATGAGTGTGTACAGGTGTGCTTTATACTCCTCCGGTTATTCCGTCACACCTTACCGTTCTAGCAACAAGCCTATAGGATTGGAGTGATTTCATTCACGTTCAGACCTGCTTCGCCTAGAGGCGTTCCCATAGTGTCGTAACCGACGCAGTTCGAGTTCCCTCGAAGGGGAACCCAGTTAAAGTGAGTTCAGCACTTATGCCTATCATAGGCCAAAGTACCATGGGTTACTGTCATTTTGCTAGTTATTAGATAAGAAACTGCATACTGATGCTAAAGATAAGGCTAGCTATATCCTTGCTTTCTGCTGAAAACTGTAGTTTTTAGGAAACGTTACTCAAGCAGGATAGCAGTGAATAAAAACA